GCTAGGTCCAGATGCAGATGGCATGGGGTGGGTGTACCCCTCATAGATGGGCACAGTGTGGGTTACCCCCTCATTGGAGTCCATCATAATGCCAGTGGTACAGCCAGAGGCGTATAAGGACAGTATGGCCTGGATGTCCACATACATGGTGGGGGTGTTGAAGGCCTCGAACATGATCTGGGTCATCTTCTCACAGTCGGCCTTGGGTTTCAGTGGGGCCTCAGTGAGCAGGACAGGATGCTCCTCAGGGGCTACACAAAGCTCATTGTAAAAGGTGTGATGCCAGATTTTCTTCATGTTGTCCCTCATGGTGACGATGCCATGCTCAATGGGACACTTCAGAGTCAGGATGCCTCTCTTGCTCTGGGCCTCATCACCCACATAGGAGTCCTTTTGGCCCATGCCCACCATCATGCCCTGGTGCTGGGGATGCTCCATAATGGAGGGAAAGGTGGCTTTGGGGGCACTGTCACCAGAGATGGCGGCTTTTCATATAGAGAGCTGTTGGGGACCATGAGCGCAGCAATATCATCATCCACGGTGAGCAGGAAGAAGTGTAGACCAGTGAAGGTGGAGGAGAAGCAAAGTCCAAGCAACCTAACAGATGCTGAGTTCAAAATACTGCTTATAAGGATGCTCAGTGAACTTAGTGAGAATCTCAGTGAACTTAATGAGGGCCTCAAGAGCATAAAAAAGGAGCAGTCAGAATTGAAGGAGGCATTAACTGAAATAAAGATTAATCTACACAGCTTCAATACTAGAGTACGTAAATCCAAGAAGCAAACCATTGATTTGGAATATAAGGAAGCAAAAAACGCCCAATCAGAACACCGAAAAGAAAAAAGAATCCAAAAAAATGAGGATAGTGTAAGGAGCCTCTGGGACAACTTCAAGTGTGCCAACATTCGCATCTTGGGGGTGCCAGAAGGAGAAGAGCGAGAACAACAAATCGAAAACCTGTTTGAAACAATAATGGCAGAAAACTTTCCTAACTTGGTGAAGGAAACAGACATACAAGTCCAGGAAGCACAGAGTCCCAAACAAGATCAACCCCAAGAGGCCCACACCAAGACACATCATCAAAATGCAAAAGGTTCAAGACAAAGAGAAAATCCTAAAATCAGCAAGAGAAAGGCAGCTAGCTAGTTACCTACAAGGTAATACCCATAAGGCTGTCAGCTGATTTCTCAAAAGAAACTTTTGAGGGCCAGAAGGGAGTGGCAAGAAATATTCAGAGTGATGAAAAGCAAGAACCTACAACCAAGATTACTCTATCCTGCAAAGCTGTCATTTAGAATTGATGGCCATATAAAGACTTTCCCAGACAAGAAAAAGTTAAAGGAGTTCATCACCACCAAACCGTTACTATATGAAGTGATGAAGGGTCTTTTTGAAGAAAAAGATAAAATATATGAACAAACAAAATGGCAATAAATACATATCTATCAACAATGGAATCTACAAACAAAATGAACAGGTAGATCAGAAACATTCTCATAGATACAGAGAACATTTTGTTGGTTGCCAGATGGGAGAGGGTTGGGAGAATGGGTGAAAAAGGTGAAGAGATTAAGAAGTACAAATTCATTGCTAGACTGACAAACCTCAAAGGGAAAGGGGTTGGGGGGGGGAGGGAATAAACCAAAGAACTTATATGCATAACCAATGGACACAGACAACAGTGTGAGAAAAGGCGGGAGGGGGGGCGGGAGTGGGGAGGAGGGGGGCAATGGGTGAAAAATGTGGAACATCTGTAATACATTCTACATTCAACAATAAAGATGAAAAAAAAAAGGTGTTGGGGTTAATGGATTGGAAGTCTCAGTCAGTTCAATGAGACTACAATAAACGAGCTGAGGGAAAAGGATAGTGATTGACAAATGGGATGCTTGAAATTGAGAGTTAGAAAGTAGAAGAATTATTGATGACAAGGTTCAGATCCTTACCACTGGAGTGGATGGATGTGATGGAATAGAGGAACAAGTTGTTGGAGATGAAGTTAAACATCTAAGAGGCCAAGTGTTGGTGTTGTATGGGTCGTATGTAAGAATGTTGAATTCACACACAATGTAGACAAGGGAGATGGTGAGGAAAATCTAGAGCAAGGAGCAACAGTCTGTAATTTCTGATGGAGAGTGCCAAGAGATTGATAAATGATAGCAGTAAAGATGATAGAGGGTGATTTAGCCAGATGATATGAACTTCAAGTGTTTTTGAAGGAGGAATGAGAAGAAATAGTTTGGAAGAGTAATCAGAAACAAAAAGGCTACCCATACTCTAGATCCAAACTTTTGGCCTTAAGGTAATATAGAGTATGAGGAAAAACAGCCTCTACTTTGGAGCTTACAGCAGAGTCAAAGCAAAAATTAACTTCATCACTAAAAATAATGGTGCTAGTGATATACCTAGATGCATCTAGGAAAATACCAAGCCTGAATTTTATAACTTAAGAGTTTGTGGATGCTGTAGAAAGGCAGTCTCACTATCTGATAGTTTATGACATTAACCATGTCTCCTCAGAAAGGTAGAATCCACAAGCAAACTCCTGTTGATAGTGTCCCTGGAAAAGAAAAGGAGAGATAATCAATGAAAGTGAATGAAAATGATGTTTTTTCTGCCCAGGCTGGTTTGGCTCAGTGGTTAGAGCAACAACCTGTGGTCTGGAGAGGCCTGGGTTCAGTTCCCTCTAAGGGCATGTACCTCAGTTGCAGTTTGTCCCCGGCCCTGGTTGGGTCCTGTGGGTGGCAACCACTCGATGTGTCCCTTTCACATTGATGTTTCTCTCTCTCCCTCCTGCTCTATCTGAATAAAAAATAAAAATGGAAAAATGTCAAGTGAGGATAAAAAAAAAAAAAGAAAATGATGTTTTTGCTCAGGGAACATTCATTTCAGGCACCTAGAATGTAGTTCTTTGTAAATTATCTTTAATATTGGCCTGTAGGGCATAGTTGTATATCTATTTAAAAAACAACTTTCAGATGCAACAGGTGATTTTTTTATTTTTATTTTTTTGCTTGTGGTACAAATAGGATGAACTATTGCCTCTCAAGATAACACTGCCTGGAAAATTTCTGGTGCAAAAGCCCTAGATAAAAAGCAGAGTTCCAGTGCAGTATCCTGGGGTGATTTCTTCTCAGGTAGCTCCGTGACTCCAACATTGTACTCTTCTCACATTACATTAAGGTAGAAGAATATTATCCTCAAGTGTCAGTAATGTCACCTCCTCTGAGGATCCACTTTAGGGACCTAGCTGCCCAGTTATCTTCAGACCATAGGGACCTGGAGACCCTTCCAGTCAGATCAAATATAGCCCTGGTAACTGACCCTTTTCATTTAGAGTAGCAAAACCTACCTCTTAAAAACTATTAGTGCAGTTAAGCCAGAGCCAAATTCTGCAACTATCAAGGTAATGATTTAGCAGGATACCTTGCAGAGATTATGCTCAGGATTTCCTTGCTCTGCCCATTATAATGTGAAACTATACTGGAAGAAGTAACTGAACTGTGGCAGGCCCAATAATGCACATTGGGACCAGCCCACATGCATTAATTACATCTGTGAGGTAATCAGTATTGCAAAAGCATGGTCCTTTGCCACTCAGCTTAGTTTCCCCAAAAGCATGGTTCTTTGCCACTCAGCTCTGTCTACCCTCTGAAGATAAATCAACTTGCCTGTGTGTTTAGGTAAAAATTGTAAAAATACAATTTTTAATGTGTATTACTGAGTTTACTACTATTGCTTAAATATATGTAAATACTGAGGTTTTTAGAAAAAAAAGTTAAAATATAAAATTGCCTCTAGGAAAAGAACCCTTCATTAAAAGAAATGTCTCCTCCACTTGAACAAAATAAAATGGCTCAATCCATAGGAAACATTTGCATGTAGTGAAGGCGTTTAAATTTGCTTAAACTTAACCATGCAGAAATCAGATTAATGTTTAAATTATGAACTAGTTAGAGATCAGAATCTGGGGAAATGATTAAGACACCCTAGATCTAAGGTCAGCTTCTTTCCTTTGTTGGATGAAAGCATCGTGAAACATACAAATTCCTAAGAATTACAAATATTTGCCATCAGGGGTATTTTTTCAGTGAGACATTTTATTTGTAGCAAATTTCTGAGACTACCAGGTAGGTTTTCATTAAAATCAGTAATGTCATTAGGGTTCCCTACCTCAGTCATCTTAAGTTGCCCATTAAGGCACCCTTAAATGTTGCCTTTCATTTTGCTGTATGATTGAACGCCGGGTTTGATGAAGTTATGGTAAGATACAGGTGGAAGGATCTAACTCAAGAGATGGCTCTCAACAGAAAGGCAGTTGAACCCCAACTAACTATTCAAAGGTAATAATTTGGAAATGTCCCAACCTTTAGGGTAAGAAGTAAAGGGAATATTTGCCAACACAATTTTGTCACCAATTCAAGGGCAACTTGCAGTGCCCAGCAGTCGAGGTCTGGCTTTTCCTGAATTTCGGGAACAAAAGAAGCATTCGCAAGCCAACCCGTGAAGCGTTTGTTTTAAACGTACTGGAAAGTAAATCAGATCAAGGACGATGAGCGTCTGCAATCACGCCTCGCTTCTTATCCTTCCTCCCAGGGCTGGCGGTTGGGGAAGGAAAGGCTGCGGCTATTCTTCGGCGGATCGGCGTCCTGAGATTGAGAAAGGCCCAGCCCCGGTCCTCGCCGCTCTCGGCGACCGACCCCGGGGAGGAAGGTTCTCCCCTCGCAGGGAGGGGGAGAGGAAACCGTGCACAAAAGCAGTATTACAGGTTTCTTATCAGCGTCTACTAAGGGAAAAGGGTGGAGAAAAGGGAAACAGAAACGGACCCGGCGCCGCGGCTCCCGCCCGAGCGGCTTTTAAACTGCGTTTCCACAACCTCTCGCAGGGAGCCGCGGCTAATGGAACCCGCGCGAGGCGTCGGGCCAATCGCCGCCGCGCTTCCTCCGGCCGCCGGCCAATGGCGGCGCGCGTTCTTGGGGCGTGGGCGAAGCAGGCTGCTCTCCTTGGCTGTAGTGTGTGGGCTGGGGTTGGTGCGGGCTCCTGTCTGGGCTGCACTTTGTCCGCAGTTCTGCTCCGGGGGCTTTTGTGTCCGGCTTTGGCTTCGCTTTCTGTGTGTGAGTTTTGTTTTTGTTTTGTGTTTTTTTTTCGCTGTGCACGCGGCTCCCCGGCGGAAGCCGTGAGGCTCGGAGGCGGCAGCGCCCCCCCGCTCAGGCAAGGAGCGAGCGCGCCGGCGTGAGCGCGGGTGTGACGGCTGCGGGGAAGGGGATTCGCCGCCGAGATGCCGGAGTTCCTGGAAGACCCCTCGGTCCTGACGAAGGAGAAGTTGAAGAGTGAGTTGGTGGCCAACAACGTGACGCTCCCGGCGGGGGAGCAGCGCAAGGACGTGTACGTGCAGCTCTACCTGCAGCACCTCACGGCGCGCAACCGGCCGCCGCTCGCCGCCGGCGCCAACAGCAAGGGGCCCCCGGACTTCTCCAGCGACGAGGAGCGCGAGCCCACCCCGGTCCTCGGCGCCGGGGCCGCCGCCGCGGGCCGCAGCCGAGCCGCCGTCGGCAGGGTAAGGACGCCCGGCTCCGGCCACAAAGGCGACCGTTTGGCGGTTGTCGCTGCCCGCGCGCTCGCGGTCCCCCCTCCCTGGCGCCCCCTCGGGCCTCCTCGGCGGCCTGGCCGCGGGCCCTTGGCCGCGGGCTCGCGGGCCGTGGAGGGAGGGCGCTGAGAGCAGAGCCCCGCGTTGGGGGCAGTGCTGGCGTCTCGGCCGAGTGTGTCTGGGGGCACGGAGTTAGCGGTGCTCCCGGGTTGCGCGTGGGTGGCGGGCGCGCGGGCGGCTCGGCGTTCCCGGGCCGCGGCCGCCAGCGCTGGTGTTCGGACCCGGACCACCGTGCCCGAGTCGCGAGCGCGGAGGGTCAGCCCGACACCGCGCGAGGTAGCGTTGCGGCCGTTTCCCGCTTTGGCTGCAGGCTGCGCGCCGCGGCTCAGAGCGCTCCCTGGAGGGCAGTTTGTGCACCCTAATTTCTAACTACGATTTGAAATACGTTCCCGCCTTTTTATGGTTTTTTTTTTTTTTTCATCTGGAGGGCTTTTTGAACCGTTTATGTTTTTCTTGTTTGTGGTGCTCGTTTCCAGCCACGGGCCATCTTTCGGTGGGGAAGCGTTCCTCTAAATTAAAAGGAGCGTTTAAAAATACACCATTAAGCGGTTATCAGACGCTCAAACATTTTAAAATTCTAGTTATTAAGGGCTTGGGATTTTGGATTTTCTTTTCTTTTTGGTAAACTTTGCATGAGGAAAGCAAAGATTTCGGCATCATGAGGCATGTTTATTTCGTGACATTCTGATAATGTCAGTTTGGAATATCTAATCCCGGGTAAATCTCAGATTAGATCCAGTAAATGGGTATTTTCTTTGAGAAGAGTTTACTTTTTGTTCAGTGGGTTTGTAGTCGCTGTTTTGCTGGTATGACTGTGTCTGGTTACCAGACTTCAAATCCTAACAGAATGTCAGAAGTAGTGATCGGTGTAAGGGACAGTGCTTTGTAAGGCTTGGAATGTGGAGTTTGGAGTTGGTGCTACTGAGGAGTAGTACAACTCAAAAGTACTTCTTCCAAGGTTATGGTGTTTAACTTTAGTTTTTAAAATTTTTACCTGATGTGCTTTCAGGACTACCCAGATACAAATGAAAGAAAGATGTAGTAGATTAATGTAAATTTAATAGAAAATCTTAGCCTGGGTTTTAGAGCATGAAAATCTTATATCTTAAGTTAGTGCCTGGCAACTAGTAGTACCAGTAAATATTGGTTCAGTAAATAAAAGACTAATCACATCTTATTGTTTCTGATGTCTTGTTTTTGTGGATTTGAAGAAAGCCACTGGACTCTTCCATAATACACAGAAATTTACTTTTGAAGTAAATCATATCTCTTACCTGTTTCCCCCACCCCTTTTGAAAAAGAAAGTAATGCTCAAACTATTTCAATAAATATTTGGTTGAAAATGAAATATTTCCCATTTAAATCCCACTTTTTCAAAAGAACAGGGCTTCTATAGAACCCTATCTTGGTCTGTGCAAACATATTATTCTTGAGCCATGAAAGTGTTTGGTTGTAGGTTTTATAATAGGATTACTGTTCTTATTTTTATGGTTCATTTTATACAGAAACAACCATCTTGGTTTTGATATTTGTCCTGCAAGTTTTTAAAAGAGAGTATGCCCCAACTACCCCATGTTCTTTGGGTTGTAAGAAGACCTAAATGTAAATATTTTTAATTTCAGTTCAATTATTCAATGTTTGTTAGTTCCTACCATATGTTCTTAAGTACTGGAGATGGATTTCTGCTGATGCCACCCACCACCATTATTTATTTATTTATTTATTGCATGATAATCATTGCATTTGTTATTTTCTCGTCTCAACATATTTCCCATATTATCCAAGCTGTTTAGCACTATGCAGATAAGCTCTGGGTGAAAGAAATTAACGTTTTCAGAGAACCTACTATGTCCAGTGGCATGCTAAGTCCCTTATATATTATTTAATGTTTTATATATTGTTTAATGTTTATACATAGAGAAAAACTATTTCACAGCCATAGATTTAGGGCCTCTACTTGAGTATTTAAGACTCAAAAAATGTGTACCCTTGGTTAGGCTTTAGTACTTTGAACAACTTGAAGTTAATAGTGGTAGTTGGTCAGTAGCATCATCATCTGTTTTAAAGCACATTAAGTGAAAGTGAGTTATAATTTAACTTAGGAGTCTAAATAGACTGTCAGGCATAGTAAAAATGTTTTGAATGTACAGGAAAAGGACATTGGGGCATTTATTATAATAAAATTATTCTCTACTGAACATTCCTTTTATGTATACAGCATTTTATGTTCTAGTCATTGTTAGCCCTATGTATAATAACAGTATAAGCGCACATTTCTTAAAGAATATTTACAGTGTAGGAGAAAGCCAAATTATGTTTGAGAGTTGCAGAAAAGGCAAATTTTTAGTTGGTGCATTTTTAACATTTTAAAACAAATCAAACATTAATGTGCATTTTGGCCAAAGGCATAGCATTTGCATATGGATTTATAAGGAATATTTTTAAAGTATGTTTTTATTAATTTTAGATAGAAAGGAAGATGGGGGTAACTTGGATGTGAGAGACAAACATCTGTCTGCTGCCTCTTGCACACCCCCTACTGGGGATTGAGCACAAACCCTAATATGTGCCCTGACTGGGAATGGAACTGGTGACCCTTTGGTGCATGAGATGACAACCAATTGAACCACACTGGCCAGGGCAGGAATATTTTTAATTAAAGAGGAAATTGTTTCATATCAGTCATTGCTGTGGTCTCTTAGATTCATTTGATATAGTATGACAAAAATGTTTTACATGTCCAAAATTAGGTTTTGGTTTTTAGTTTTCCTATTTCTAAGTTTTTAGTTTTATGCACCTTGGTGATACCAGTATAGTCCCTCGTTTATCGCGGTTAATCAATTCCAGTTTTAAACCCGCGATAGAGTGAAGCCATGGAAGTCGAAGAGTGAGGGATGGCTGTAGTTTTAGGTGTTGATATTATCTAGGTTGTTGACACAAAAATAAACATTTATAGACTTGTCGATCTGCCTTTACCTTGCAAGACCCAAAGCAGTATAGCTATTTCAAATCCAGTGGAGCATAACATAATCCTTGAATGATCTGATCTGGTCAGGATTATGAGTTCATACCAGCAAAATTTTTTTTTTAATCCTCACCCAAGGATATTTTTACATTTATCTTCAGACAGAGTGGGGGGAGGAGAGAGAAACATCCATGTGAGAAAGACACACACCATGCCCTGGCCAGAAGAGAACCTGGGACTCTCTGGTCCGCAGGCCGACGCTTTAATTGCTAAACCAAACTGGCTAGGGCATACCAGGAAATATCTGAAGTCATGGAACAAAACATAAAAAAATATGCTAATGATGGTAAATATTAATTAAATCATAAATTTGCTATCATACTCTACAATGAGGTATTGAGTGTACAGGCTTCTGAATCAGGGTTATAGATTTAAATTCAAGATCAGGCACTTATTTCGATGACCTTTACAGCGAACATTGTGTATTAGATGCTCAGTTTTCATTTGAAAAATAGGAATAATCTAATAGCTACTTAATTAGATGTTGAGGCTTACAGTAGTTTGCATTTTCTGAAAGTATCTAGTGCTCAGCAGTTTATACTATTACAACATGTAATTTCTAAACTTTTTTGTCTTTATTTAATGCCAGAACAATACAATGTTATCACAATATAATTTTCAGAATTGGGTGAGGTAAGTTTGTCAAAGTGATGGATACATACTCTGTTCAAATGTTCCTATACATTTTTATGGTAAAGTCTTTTTAATTTTTTTTGGTACGTGCACCTAGTGGGAACCGAACCCGAGACTCTGGTCCGCAGGCCGATGCTCCATCCACTGAGCCATACTGGCCGGGGCTATGGTAAAATCTTAAACTCCAAGATTAATTTAAACTTTTAAATATTGTAAAAGAGGCCAGTAGTGAATTGTATTTACAGTTGTCTGGATGAAAATATTTAAATATAGTCTATTTGCTTATTTGAATTTTTGTCATCACCTCTTCTTGAGACAGGTTACCAAAACGGACTACAGTTGGCCCTCGTTTATCGTGGTTAATCAGTTCCAGACTCTGCCACAATAAATGAATTTTCGCCAAGTAGGATTCCTTATTTATATACAGTCCCTTTGCCACTGTGCACTTCGACTTCCGCGGCTTCACTCTATCGCAGTTTTTCAAATGCTATACAGTTATTTTAACAATAATGTCTGTAAAATTGAGTTACTTGCTTGGCTTCTGGGTTTGCATAATTATAACCAAACTTGGAAAATATTTCCAAACCATGAGTTACTTTTAATTTAACCAAATTGCTGAGGCTTAACATGACTATAAATAACTTGAAGGTAAATTTCTTTTTATTTTTTTATTTCATTTTTTTTCATCACCATTTATCCCCTTTATGCCCTCTTCTACCTCAACCCTCCTTTCTCCTACCCCCAGTCACCACACTAGTTCATGTTCATGAGTTCTCTTTCGCTCGATCCCTGTATCCCCCACCAACACTCCCACCACCACTACTTGCTCTCTATTCTCTGTTTTGCTTGGTAGTTCAGTTTGTTCATTAAATTCCACATATAAAAATCATATGGTATCTGTCTTTCTCTGACAGGCTTATTTCTTTTCTTTTTTTTTAATCCTCACCCGAGGACATTTTTCAATTCTTGTTCATATAGAGTGGGAGGGAGAAAGAGGAACAGAGAGAGAGACATCGTGAAAGGGACACATCAAGTGGCTGCCTCCCGCAGGGCCCCCAGCCAGAGCTGGAGACAAATCGCAACTGAGGTACGTGCCCTTGACTGGAATCGAACCCACGACTCATTGGTCTGCAGGCCAACACTTTAACCGCTGAGCCAAACTGGCCAGGGCTGATTGCTTATTTCACTTAGCATAATGTTCACCAGGTCCATCCATGCTTTTGCAGAGGGTAAAATTTTCTTCCTTTTTACTGAAGAAGTAAGTATTCCATCGTGTATATGTACCACAGCAGCTTGATGATCGGTTTTTATGTTTATTGTATACAGTGTTATTTATGTACTCAATGAACATTTTAAAATTCATGTTGAAATGATAACTGGACTTTATTTACAGAAAGCCACAAAGAAAACTGATAAACCCAGACTAGAAGATAAAGATGATTTAGATGTAACAGAGCTCACTAATGAAGATCTTCTGGATCAGCTTGTGAAATATGGGGTGAATCCTGGCCCTATTGTGGGTAAGCTGATAAAATTTCAAATATCTTTTCTATGAAGCAGTACCCCAAATTGTTTTTCCCTCTTGTCTAGCAGTTAAGTTTGGGTCCTAAGGGCCAGTCTATCATTATCATTTATATGACCAGAACCTTAGTTTCCTTTACTATGAATGAGGGAAATAAAGTGAGGGAATTGAACTAGATAATTTCCAGGATTACCTCTGTTGTCGAGATTGTTTCATATGGTGCTCATATTTATTACCTAGTGAGACACATGGATCTTACATGTCAGTGAGGAAAATCTAAGGTAACATGGCTGGCCAAATTCATTCAAGTCAGTAATTTAGTGACAGACTTGATATAACTCAGTTCCCAGCATTTTCAGTTATTAAAACTACCTTTTTAATTTTTATTTTTAACGGGAGAAAAAAATAATTTAATATGTGTGCATGGGAGAATCATAAAAATTCAAGTTTGTTTGGAATTGAAGAATGATACCCTGAAGACCAGGCTAAAAAGAGAAAACTTAGAACTAAATACACTAGATTTCTATCATTTGGTTAGTGTTGGTGATTTTTGCAAGGCTGAGTATGCCTTAATGTTGTAGGGTCTTGGCAATAAATAACCTGAGGATGAGGAAGGTCTGCACATTTTGATCTTCTAAGTTGTGTAAAAGTTTGAATACTGTGAGATTTGTAGGTTCATTTTCTACAGGTGTAGTTGCAAACAGTTTTAGAATGTTGTCTTTTGTTTTATTTAATAACTGCTTCTAAATAGAGGGTGTCCCAACAAATGTATACATAACTTTGAATAATTATAAAGCCAGTGTTTATTAAAATTCATTTCCTTTTCAAAATGTAATAGAATCTACAGACACCCTATATACATTTTTCTGGGACACCCCCCATAGATGGTATTTGCCTTTTAATATAATTACCAGCGGACTTTTTTTTTTTTTTAATGTTTTTATTGATTTTTTGAGAGAGAGAGAGAGAGAGAGAGAGAGAGGGGAAGGGTGAGAGAGAGAGAAACATCAAATGAGAGAGATACATCGGTTGGCTGTCTCCTGCACACCCCCCACCGGGGATCGAGCCCGAAACCAGGGGTAACCTGTGCATGTGCCCTGACCAGGAATCGAACCAGGACCTCTCAGCCCATAGGACAGTGCTCAATCCACTGAACCACACTGTCCAGGCACCAGTAGGCATTTGATACCCTTTTTAAATTTAAATTTTATTTTAAAATTCCAAATGGGAGATGTTGAAAAATGTGTGTTATTATCAACATACATTAAATTACATGTTGGTGTACCAGCTGTTCATTTTTTCCCTCAGCTATACTGAGGTATGTATAATTAACAAAACTATGTTTAAGGAGTACAATTTGATGTTTTGATATACATAATCATTGTGAAATGATCACCATAATCAAACTAATTAACATGCCCATCACTTCACATAGTTTTCTTTTGTGTTGTGAAAACACTTAAGGTCAACCTTCTTACTATATTTCAAGTATATAATACATTATCGTTAACTATGACCCACATTATATAGTACATTAGATTTCCAGAACTTAACTATCTTGCATAACTGAAATTTTGTACCCTGTGACCAACATCTCCCTATTCCTCCCTCCCTAGCTGTTCACCTCAAGACTACATATATAAACATTTTGAGATGTGTTGTTTCTAAAAATATATATTACCATTTAATTCATCTTAATAGAAATCAGAAGATATATAGCTAGTGTAAAACAGAAATTAAAAGCTATTTTTTGGTTTTAAATTATCATTGATGTTGAAATATGTTAAGAATTGGTTTAGCCCAACCAGAGTGGCTCAGTTGGTTGGAACGTTGTCCTGTGCACTGAAAGGTTGCTGGTTCAGCTCAGTGATTGAGAATCGACCCATGCACCAAGAGGTCACTGATTTAATTCCCAGTCAGGGCATATGCCCAGGTTGTGGGCCCGATGCCCAGGTTGTGGGCCCGATCCCCAGTAGGGGGAATGCAGGAGGCAGCCAAGCGATGTTTTCTCTCATCGATGTTTCTATCTCTCCCTCCCTCTCCCTTCTCTTCTCTCTAAAATCAATAAAGAAAAAAAAATTTATTATTTTTTTTATCCTCACCCAAGGACATTTTTGCATTTCAAATAGAACAGAAGGGAGAGAGGGGGGGAGGGGGGAGGGGGGGAGGGAGGGAGGGAGGGAGGGAGAGAGGGAGAGAGAAAGATCGACTGGTTGCCACCCACACAACCCCTACTGGGGCTGGGGACAAACTGCAACCGAGGTACGTGCCCTTAGTGGAACCGAACCCAGGTCTCTCTGGACCACAGGCCGATGCTCTAACCGCTGAGCCAAACCAGCCAGGGCTGAGAACATTTTTTTTATTCTTGTTCAGGTAGAGTGGGAGGGAGAGAGAGGAAGAGAGGGAGAGAAAGAGAAGCACTGATGGGAGAGAGACACATTAACTGGTTGCCTCCCGCATGACCCCAATCAAGGCCAAGGACAAGCTGCAACCGAGGCACATTCCCTTGACCGGAATCGAACCCACGACTCATTGGTCTGTGGGCCGACACTAACCACTGGGCAAAACCGGCTAGGTCAAAGACATCTTTTTATAAAAGAATTCATTATATAGCCCTGGCTGGGTGGCTCAGTTGATTGGAGCATGTCCCAGATGTACACCAAGAGGTTGCAGGTTTGATCTCTGGTAGAGGTGAGTATGGGAGGCAGCCAGTCAATGTTTCTCACATCAGTACCTCTCTCTTTTTCTCCCTCCCTCTCTCTGTCCCTCTTCCTCTCTTCCTCTCTAAAAAAAATCAATAAAGCCAGCCAGTGTGGCTCAGTGGATTGAGAGTTCATCCCATGGATTGAGAGGTCCTTGTTTGATTTCCTGGTCACGGCACATGCTCAGGTTTCAAGCTCAGTCTCCAGTAGGGGGTGTGCAGGAAGCAGTAGATTGATGTTTCTCTCTCCCTCTCCCTTCTATTCTCTCTAAAATCCATAAAAACATTTTTATTTTTACTTATTTTTTATATGCTTTTATGGATTTTTGAGAGAGGAAGGGAGAGAGAGAGAAACATTGATGTGAGAGAGATTACATCAGTTGGCTGGCCCCTGCGTGCCCCCTACTGGGGATCGAGCCCTCAAACAGGGCATGTGCCCTGACTGAGAATGGAACCTGGGTCCTCTCAGCCCATAGGATGACACTCAGTCCATTGAGCCACACCTGCCAGGCTATAAAAATATCTTTTAAAAAAGATAATGTGAGCTATATATTAAGACAATGTAAGTACTAAAGCGAGTTCTGCCTTAATAACAGGAACAACTAGGAAGCTGTATGAGAAAAAGCTGTTGAAACTGAGGGAACAAGGAACAGAATCAAGATCTTCTACTCCTTTGCCAACAATTTCTTCTTCAGAAAATACAAGACAGAATGGAAGTAATGACTCTGACAGATACAGTGACAACGAGGAAGGTAAAATTTTAAATGATGTTAATCAAATATATATGATTTTTTTTCAGACTCATAAGATACAGTAACCATGAAGAGGATAAAATTTAAAATAATATTACCAAGACATATAATTTCTGTTTATATCATTAATTTTCCAAGTAATTTTATTTAAATAGCTTTTGTTGAGAACTCTTAAGAAACAGAAAAGTACAAGTGTCTAATTTTCTGTCACCTAAAATTACCTAAGTACCTGTGTCTTTTTTGCTTCAAATCTCATTTTTCGAAGAGAATAAAATATTACAAATAAAGACAAAGTTCCCCCACTTACCCCTTTCCAAATATCATCTCCATAGAAGCAACTACTATCATTAATTTGATTTTTTTCTTTCCAGCCCATTCTTAAATACTTTTTTATACCCATCTATCTAACATATAGTGTTATTACTTTAAAAAATCTATATAAATGATATCATGCTAAATCCTGTCACTTTTCTTTACTGTTATATTCAGATCTCACTGATTTATTATATGCCTGTTTTAATTATAATTAATTAAATTATAATTAATATATAACAGTAGTATTTACATATGGCATGTTTTCTGTTCTATTGATAGGCATTTAAATTTACAGTTTTTGCTAGATAATCTGATTTCCAAAGCAACTTTAGAGCAAATATTTTGACATATTGTAGTAGACTATTTTAAGAAAATTTGCCCGTGATATTTAAATATTTTTGAAAATAGTACAATAAATAAATGACCTTGTAAAATTTATTATAAGAACAAGTTCATATTTATAAATGTTTAATTCATTTATATGACATTTTTAAAAATTTCATGATTATTTAATTTGCCCCAAATTGCTTATATTTCCATAAGCATTGCTTGCCAGGGCATAGTCTGTCAAATTGGTTGTTCAGAATACAAAATATAGAGTCTTTTCTTTCAACAGCACTATGTTAGCAAGGAGGCAAAGAATAAAATCAGCTTAAACACAAGTAATACTTAAACTTCCTGCCTCTTTTGCCTCTACAGGAAAGAAGAAAGAACACGAGAAAGTGAAGTCCACTAGGGATTTTGTTCCTTTTTCTGAACTTCCAACTACTCCCTCTGGTGGATTTTTTCAGGGTATTTCTTTCCCTGAAATCTCCCCCCGTCCTCCTTTGGGCAGGACTGAACTACAGGCAGCTAAGAAAGTACATACTTCTAAGAGAGACCCACCTAGGGAACCTCTTATTGCCACAACCTTGCCTGGCAGGGAACAGTTGCAGAAGTTAGCCTCCGGAGGGAATTTGTTTATTTCCTCCCATTCTAGTCATGATAGAGGTTTAGAGAAAAGTTCTTCAACATCTTCTCAGCATGAACTCGCTGCCACTTTGGTCTCTGCTGCAGCTTTTCCTTCACTGATTAAAGAAACCACCACTACTTGTTATAAAGACATAGTAGAAAATATTTATGGTAGAGAGAAAAGTGGAATTCAACCATTATTTACTGAGAGGTCCCATGGTTCAAGTCAGTCGATTTTCTCCAGTGAAAGGAAAACACTAGAAGAGTCTGAGAGATCACAAGTAATTTCTCCACCACTTGCTCAGGCAATCAGAGATTATGTCAATTCTCTGTTGGTCCAGAGTAGGGTAGGTAGTTTGCCTGGGACTTCTAACTCTACACCCTCACTGGATGTAGAAAACATACGCAAGATAATTGATCAATCTAATTTTCAAGAAACTGAATCCCAGTCTCCTCCACGAAAATTGCCTAGACTCAGTAAAAAGTCAGCAGAAGGAAAGGATTCAGGTTCCTCTGTGGCATTTCAAAATATGCGTGAATCTGAATCAATGTCTTCTTTTGCCAAAACTGTTGTCTCTCATTCACTTGCTGCCTTAGGCATAGAAATGCCTAAGAAAACACAGCATGATAAAGTAGATGCCCCAGAACTCTCTTTTCCTTTTCATGAATCTATTTTAAAAGTAATTGAAGAGGAGTGGCAGCAAATTGACAAGCAGCTGCCTTCATTGGCATGCAAGTATCCAATTTCTTCCAAAGAGGCAACACAGATATTATCAGTTCCAAAAGTAGATGATGAAATCCTGGGGTTTATTTCTGAAGCCACTCCACCAGCAGGTATTCAGGTACCTTCAACTGATAAACAGTTGGACTTAGCACTTTGTAGAGCTTATGAAGCTGCAGCCTCAACATTGCAGATTGCAACCCATACTGCCTTTGTAGTTCGGGCTATGCAGGCTGACATTAGTCAGGCTGCACAAATTCTTAGTTCAGATCCTAGTCATATCCACCAGGCACTTGGGATTCTGAACAAAACATATGATGCAGCCTCATTTCTTTGTGAAGCTTCATTTGATGAAGTAAAGATGGCTGCCCATACCATGGGATCTTCCACTTTAGGTCGCCGTTATCTCTGGCTGAAGGATTGCAAAATTAATCCAGCTTCTAAGAATAAACTGGCTGTTACTCCCTTTAAAGGTGGAACATTATTTGGAGGAGAAGTATACAAAGTAGTTAAAAAGCGTGGAAATAAACACTAATAAAGTTAATAAAGATGTCCATCTTATCTTTAATATTGGGAAGTTAGCAGATTTTCTAGGAATTTTAAATTACTTTTAAACCAAAAAAAAAAAGTCTCTCTAGTTTCTAGATGGTGTTCATTTCAGTGTTAAGCTTCTATCCATCAAATTATAGTTAAAAGTAATTGTCAACATAGAATTGTCTTTCAAAAAGTTGCACAGATAGAAAGCCTGATATAATTTAAAGCTTTGTAGATCACATTTATATCTCAAATCGTTCACTTTTTTCCTATTTTACCTAAGATTTTGCAACTCTTCAAAACTAAGAACATTCTGTTAACTAGCATAACAGAGTCTTCACTAGTCTTAATACCTTGTTACTTTCTACATTTTTTCTTTTATTTTCTCACTTTTGTGTGTTTTTTACTTCTGTCTACAGTGTCATTCATAATATCCTAGATCAGTGCAATTAATGTGCCAGTCTGTAAACTGTTAGTGATCCACAGACAAGATAAGCATGCACCAAAATTTGAATTTAGAAACACTTTTTAGGTCAATGACAGGATTTATTTTTTTTGGTAAAATTTTATTGATAGAGAAAACTCTGTGTTGACCTACATTCTGTTGTAAGTGCCTCATCAAGGACTAGTAGCAATAGTTCGTGGACCACACTGTGAGAAATACTGCTCTAGACCATAATACTCTAGGATAGTGTATTCTCACCATCACTGTAGTTTCTAGATGAACTAGACACTGGAAAGATGGGGCTTTTAAAGCAAAACTTGCAAGGTATGTTATAGTTCAAAGATTTAATCTAAATTCTAACAGCAAATTTAAGGTAGTTGGTTTTTGTTTTTTTAAGTCATAAGAAATCATACTATATCCCAGTGTCTTTTTTTGTCTATATAAAACAGTATAATACCTTGTGTTTTCATTTCTGTGATTGTAAGATGAGAGAGTCTTAACTGTAGAGGCATTTGATAATTCAATTTCTGTGTATTTTTATGGAAATAGTATTAAGTATAAGCAAAATATGGTCCCTTGGGAACACCTAGCCATATTCTTAGACTATACATGTCCATCTTTGCAGCTTTCTCGGAGTAATTTTATTTGTTATTTGTCTTCTGAAATGTACATGTATACATGTACCTACTAAGTGCTATGTGACTTTAAAAATGTATTACTGTAGAATGCTTCTGCAAATTCAATAAAGTTGTTAAATTTGAACAGTTTTGTGTGGTCTCCAGCAACGTGTTGTATGTGTGTTTTATTCTTGGAATTAAAATAAGTTAGATATTTGTGGATGAACATCCCTTTATCATTTCATCATTAAAACTCACTTGACATTACAATGATATCATTGAAAGTATTCCAGATATTGTTTTATTCTATTTGAGGACTATGTTTTTATTGGCTGTTGGAATTTAAAATTTGTGAGAGGAATTAATCTGTAATCAGATACCTTATTTGTTTAAATCAGTTTCTGCTCAGTTACTATTGGATTCTTTGGATGCTCTATAATTCTTAGAATCTGAGTTAACAAAGTTTTAAGATTTTATAATGCTAAAGATTGTCCCAAATATAGATATATGATAGATCTATTAATGGGAGTTTTGGGAGGTGGAGGATAGAGTTGATACCTTATTCCTAAATAAAGATCAACCTATTTGAACCATCATGCTAAAAAAATAACTATTCATTTTGGGGAAACTTGTAAGTAGATGCTGGACTGATTAGTGCTAGAGTACATGGCAAGACACATGGCTAGCTTGACTACTTTTTCATACAACTGCATTAAGTTCATGTAAGAATTGACTCCATTTCTGTCTCTGGTAAGAAACTAAAGTTTTTGGTAACAGACGTTTCAGAAGTAACAACTGATATTTTGCTATGTGATAAGTGGCCACAAAATGTTGAGGTTAACTAAGATTTCTATCAGTCTTACTAAATCCAGCTCTTCAAATGTTGATACAATCAAGACTAGGAGAATGGAATATTGAAGCCTATAAAAAGACATTTATTTGAGTTGTTACGTTAATAACTATTGTGGTATGCTAAGTAATACATATGTACTAGCTTCTCTTCAAAGAAATGTTATTTGTATTATGGGAAGGAAAAGGAGAAGTAGCCTGTGATTGGTTGTACTTTTCTGCCAACAAGATTCTCCCCTATCTCTTCAACTGTACTTAGGTTTTTTTATAATACCATAAAAAAAAGAAGGGAAGAGAAACTTAAACTGCACTTAGATATTAACATCATTGCACTTATTATTATTAGAAGCTTGGTACCATACATGTGTTTTTTTCCAGTCTTAAAATTCCCTATAGCTTTTTCTTTTTCATATTCCAGATTTTAATTTAATAACAAACCTTTGCACTGTATAGACAAAAGAATGGTAACAACTATATGTATTTTAGTGTTCTTTTCCCACATCTAAATTGTTTTTAGTGAAAAACTTCCATGGCAACAGTTTTAATTCACTTTCTTTCAGGCTATAAGTCCTAGAAAAAGGGAAGAGAATAGGAAGTTGTGGTCAGATTAAGGAGTGGGGGAGATAAACAGAAATGGAATAAAATAAGAATGGAAAAGAAAAATTTTTAAAGACAGGAATTGCAGTTAAACAATTTTGGTCTGTTGAGGTAATACCAATAGTTAACTTGTTTTACATAATAATGTGCCCAAAACCAGCATTCCAAGCTAATGTTGAGATGGTTGTAGCTTATTGTATATTTCAGAAAGTAATGGTTTCTCCAATGTTATTTCCAGACTCTAAAATAGAGCTCAAGCTTGAGAAGAGAGAACCACTAAAGGGCAGAGCAAAGACTCCAGTAATACTCAAGCAAAGAAGAGTTGAGCACAATCAGGTATCTTTAGTTTTATGATCACTGTATTCAGGTATAAGTAATCTCCAGGCAACACTGATTTATTTGCCTGTGTCCTAGCCTTTGATTAATAGTTGACACCCAAATTCCAATGCACTAAATATTGTTCATTAAATGGCATCAGAAATCTAAATTTTGTGTTTTATGTCAGTGTAGCCTGTGTTTACTGCAAAAGCAAGTGTTTAATAAATGTCTCATTTGTGTTTGATTCTGTGCTAAGCCAGTCATACTGCTTTTAAAGAGAAATTTTTTTTTAAATTTTTACCATATCTTTTAATTTTTGTTTTCAATTACAGTTGACATTTAATATTTAGTTTCAAGTGTACAGCATAGTGGTTACGAATTTATGTAATTTACAAAGTGATCCTCTCCATAAGTCCCATAAGTCTAGTATCCACCTGGCACCATACATAATTATTACAATATTATTGACTATAATTCCCTATGCTGTACTTTACATCCCCGTGACTGTTTTGTAACTACCAATTTGTACTTCTTAATTCTGTCACCTCTTTCATCCAGCCCCCAACTCCCCTCTCATCCGTCAACCATCAGTTTGTTCTCTGCATCTGTGAGTCTGTTTCTGTTTAGTTTGTTTATTTTGTTTTTTAAATTCCACCTATAAGTGAACTTATATGGTATTTGTCTAAGAGAAGTATTTTAAAAGGCAGAAATGCCTAAGCAGTTCTGGTGTAATTTCTTTAAAAGGAAGGGGAATGGTTTTATATTTGTTTCTTTGTCTCTAGATTTCTGACTTTGCTTTTACTTTTGCCTGTCTTCTGTGACTTTTCCTTGAACTCTGAAGCTAGTCTGGTCCTAAAATTACACTGTTTTCTTGTTCTAAATGAAAATGTACTTTTTTTATTGTGGGTAAGGCAAAATGCGGTTAGTGCAGAAACTGGGAAAATCTGATGAAGGACACTGAAAAAGATAAGCATGGAGAATCTTGGTCCTGAGTATGAAGGCAAAATGGTATAGAGTTAGCAAGAATGCGTGACTGGTCACATAGCAGGTTAAAAGGAGGGAGGAAGGATGGTATTAAAGATAATTTTTAATGGGCAATTGTTTCAGTTAGGTAAACTGAAGGACAGGATAAATAGTCAAAGGAGAGTAGAAGTGTGGCAGGTAGAATTAGACAGTGGCCTTAGATACAAAATTTAAAATGTGGAATGAAGAGTTTAATGACCCTTTTCACAGAGCAACAGTTGTCAACATTTTATTTGTTATATTTCATCTTTACCCATATTCTCCAGCCTTTTTTTAAAGTATGTTTTTATTGTTTTTCTTTTTTTTAGAGAGAGAGAGAGAGAGAAACATCAATGTGAGAGAGACACATCCATTGACTACCTCCTGCACTCCCCTTACTGGGGACTGAGCCTGCAACCCGGTCATGTGCCCTGACCGGGAATCGAACCGGGACCTCTCAGTCCATGGGACGATGCTCCCACTGAGCCACACCAGCAAGTGCTCTAGCTTTTTTTTAAATACTTTTATTTATTTATTTTTTTAATCCTCACCTGATGATATTTTTACATTTATCTTCAGACAGAGCGGGGGAGGTAGTGAGAGAGAGAAACATCGACATGAGAGAGACACATTGACTGGTTGCCGCCAGCACAACCTCAACTGGGGCCAGGGACGAACTGCAACCAAGGTATGTGCCCTTGGCTGGAATTGAACCCCGGTCTCTTTGGTCCACAGGCCAGTGCTCTAACTGCTGAGCCAAACCAGCCAGGGTGCACTCTAGCTTTTTTAATTACTTGGTTTTGTTTTGCTTTTCACTGGAATACATGAAAGCAAATCTCTGACATGTCATTTCACACATTAAAATTTGATACATATCTCTACAAGACAGGAGCTGTTTTTATACATAAAGCACACACACAATGCCATTGTCACACCTAATAAAATTATTTTTCTATCTAGTCTGTGTTTAAATTCCTTCATTTTCAAAAATGTGATTAAATTATTCAAATCAGGATCCAAACAAACCACATATTGGTTTTTTTTGTTTGTTTTCTCTCTCAAATCTGTAGCTATTCCCACTGTTTCCTCTCTCTCCATTTATTAATGGTGAAGAAACCAGGTCAGTTTGCTATACAGAGTATCTCATATTTTGGATTTGAGAGATTGCTTCTTCAAGTGTAACTTAATTTGTTCTTCTACTCTATACTTTGTATTTCCTGTAGCCTGGGAGTTAGACTTATAGTAGGGCAGGTGATAGACCTTTCTGTGATGATGCAAATGTTTGTATCTGTTGTCCATTATGGTAGCCCCAAGCCACATGTGGGTATTGAATACTTGGAATGTGACTAGTGTGGTTGAAAAACTAAAATTTCAGTTTTCTATATATTTTATTTTATTTATTTTTTTAATCCTCTCCCGAGGATATTTTTTCATTTATTTTCAGATAGAGTGGGAGGCAGAGAGAGAGAAAAACATTGATGTGAGAGAGAGACATCGATTGGTTGCTTCCCGCACAACCCAGACCAGGGCCAGAGACCAAACCGAGGTACCTGCCCTTAACCAGAATCAAACGCACAACTCTTTGGTCCGTGAGCCGACGCTCTAACCCCTGAGCCAGATTGGCCAGAGGCTAAAATTTTAATTTTATAACTTAAATTGACATTGCCACATGTGGCTAGTAACTACCATATTGGACAGCACAAATTATAGGGTTGGTTAGATTCAGGTTCAGTTTCTTTGACAAGAACATTTCATAAACGATGTGGCCTTTATATTGCAACATTTCAGGAGTCACAAAATGGCCTTTTAGTTATGCTAAAATTAATAATGGGTTCAAATGTTGAAAGTCTAATCCATCCATTATAAAGTTCCGTGTTGCCCTTTCATTTAATGGTTTTGACAGCCATTGTGATCATTGCCCAGATCCATTATTTCATTTGTGGTTGTAAGATGATGATTTCTCTCATTCCTTTACCTCTATAACTAATTTTTTTATAAAGAACTTTTTTCTCTGGTGAACTTAGTTACCTTGAAATAAAATTAATATAGGAGAGCCAGAATAAATGCTTTTTTAAAAATGTTTTTATTGAGAAAGAGAGGGAGAGAGAAACCATTTCTCATTTTTTCATTACTAGGAGTAAGTCAACTTTATGCTTTTTTTTCTTATATGCACTACTCATGTAGCAATAGTGAATCTTACTTTTTTAAATGTTTTTTATTGATTTTTAGAGAGAGAGGGAGTGAGGAGAGAGAGAGAGAAAC